AGCATGTGTGATTTTGTACCATGTGACCGGATCGCGCAAAGGGCCTATTTCATCGTGACACTTTCGAGAGTGAGGGTCTTTGAGTAAACTTTATTTTTAAGGCGTAGTTTTCGGTCTTATTAAAATTTGGAGACTTAGCTGTGTAATCGCCTCACCAACAATTAAAAGATTATTTGTTTTGACAGCAGAAATATGCTGAGTATCTCACAATATCACCCGCCTTGTACGGAAGGAGTACGACCCCCATTTTTACTGGGGAATATGCTTTTTTATATTTGAAAGGTGGATGTTTCAGGAGGTGGGATTTCGGAAAAAAACAAAAAAAAAAACAATAATAACAATAATATTCGTCGTAATAATGAGAAGAAGCAGTTAACGAATTATTCGTTTATGATGCTTTATTTACTACAACAACAACTACACTAGTCCTCTTCTTGTTCATTTTCTGCTTCAACCTAAGATGACAGAGTGTGAAAGAACGAAAGAGAGGGAAAAAATAAATAAAACAAAAAAAAAACAATCGCAATTACACAAATACCACAAATAAGGAACCAGACAATAAAACTCGATCTGATAAAATTTTATCAAACAATTAAGTAGGTAAAGTTAACAGGAACTCATGATGGATNCCAACAATTAAAAGATTATTTGTTTTGACAGCAGAAATATGCTGAGTATCTCACAATATCACCCGCCTTGCACGGAAGGAGTACGACCCCCATTTTTACTGGGGAATATGCTTTTTTATATCTGAAAGGTGGATGTTTCAGGAGGTGGGATTTCCAAAAAAAGAAAAACAAACAATAAAATTCGTCGTGATAGTGAGAAGAAGCAGTTAACGAATTATTCGTTTATAATGCTTTATTTACTACAACAACAACTACACTAGTCCTCTTCTTGTTCATTTTCCGCTTCAACCTAAGATGAGACAGAGTGAGAGAACGAAAGAGAAGAAAAAAAAAAAGAAAAAACAGTCGCAATTACACACATACCACAAATAAGGGAAACAGACAATAAAACTCGATCTGATAAAATTTTACTAAACAGTTAAGTAGGTAAAGTTAACAGGAACTCATGATGGATAATTGAAAATTATACTCCGTTAATCGAGCCTGTCTTCCGTGTGTGAGCTTACATTTTAAATTAGCAGCGGCGGCATGTTTTCCGGCAGTTTGCCTGGACAAATGGATGCCAGCTGCAATACCTCGTCCATTGCCGACAATTTGGGTGTTTGTCTATACAACCTAAAAGCATGGATAAAACAGTCAGCACTGAAAGCATGTAAACGTAGACCTAGTGCGCAAAACGAATCAGGCCAGGCGGCTTTAGGTCGAGAAAAGCCCAAAAGTGCTCTTAGTTGTTACATTATATTAGCACATGTCTAGGTCACTCAAGGGTAAAGGTAGATTGGTTGGAGTACAATAGATTGGGATTATGCAAGAATCAGGAGACAGTCAAGCACTTTCCATACATTACTAGAAAGTAAGATTGTGCAATTACCACCTGCTACTCAATGAAAGTAAATAACCTCGTTGCCCAGGATCGTAAGAGGGTAACAGGGGATGCTTGTTCAGTGTAACTGTCTCTCTTAGTCTGTAGGGGTTAAACTTGAAATCGTTCAAGTAATCAAGCCCCCTTAATCCCTGGCTTTACTGAAAGCCGTTTTACTTGAGTCTTTAGCAAAAATAGCTCGACTGTTGCCTTAAATAATTCTTGTTATCAATATTACTAGAACCAACTCGAGAGAGGGGATAACAAGATAAAATCGCTTTTACTGACCTCCTCCGCCACCTCCACCACCTAAAACAAAAACACAAAGTGTTTTCTTTTTCTTTTTCTTTTCTTTTTTCGGCCAAAACTGGACAATAACACCACTGTTTCACGCCTTGAGCGCTTGGGATGAACTGGGTACAACTCAAGTCAGGAGACATTGTTTTTTTCTTGTCTGCCCTCTTGGAAGCGAGGTTTGTAAAATGTGAACAATATATATTTTTTTTCACTATTTGCCGTTAAATTGAGCATTATATAGGACAACAACGAAAGCCGAAGACTATGTTATGTTGACATTCATTCGTGCTGATTAGTTTTTAGTATCCGTAGTGACCACAGTTACTGTATACGTTTCATTTTCGTTTCCTTTCATTTGCTTGGACATTTATCGTATGCCTTGTTGGTTTACTTTTTGTTTATTCCTTTAGGGAGTCGAACACTATTATAAACTCGTAAAGTTGTGCTGGGATCTAAGGAATTCTATAACTGAAATCAGTGCAGAAACAATCGCTCCTGAGCTATAAGAGCTCAGGAAATGAGAAAAAGTATAATTACTTAAATCTGATCGTCTCAAAATGAAATCCGGACTTGTGCATTTTGGATATAAATGTGATCGAACTCTAAATCAATGTTGACACAACAATGTAAATGCAATGCCATCCAGTAACTTTTGCCAATATGTACAAAGATACATGTTAATAGAATTACTTATTAAACGATTTTAAAAATCACGTTTATGTTTTGTGACAAATCGCTTACTGTTCTTTTTGTACATAGTTATTTCTAGAGCTCTGTAATGGTAAAAGAGGAGAATTTTTACCGAAATTTATTAAAGTACCTGACTTCTTCTGGTTGATCCATCCAATAAAACTGCTTATACGAGCGAACACTGTATAATGATCAGTCCTGCATTGGGAGTGTCCCCAGCTAACGGCACCTCGCAGAACAAATTTCCCACCCTCTTTGCATACAAACGGTCCACCACTGTCTCCCTGACGCACATTTTTAAGGAGAAAAAATAAGGTTGACATCAATCTTGTACAGTAAAATAAGAAGCAGGGTAATATATTGCATTCTGCCTCCATAACACTCTTCATACTGTAGTTAAAAGGTTACCAAGTAGCTCACTTTATTATATAGCTAGCTCCGCGAGCGGGCAAGATGAATCAAATCCTGCGCTGTGATTGGCTACCCGAGCGGGCAAGATCGAGCTATCTTGGCCGCTCGGGACTACCCGCCGTGTCCCCNGTCAAGATGGCTGGATATTGGCCTCGTTCTTTTTTTGCGAGTTTATGGACCTCGACTCCGTCTCGGTCCAAAAACACGCAGAAAACGAACTTAGCCAATATCCAGCCATCTTGACCTCACACTTGGTCAATAACCCATATAGGTATTGTCTAAAAGAGGCTGACAATTAACGCTTGATAGCAACGGGGGGATGTGCTTTAATGTTACACATTTTCGGGAAGTATCAGCCGACATTTCCTTCTGAAGTCAAGCATGAATTCCTACATGTTAACATGTTTCTCCTCTTACATCGTTGTTGCTGTCGTTGTTACTGGCGAATAAGATCGATGAGTTGAAAACAAAACAAAATATAGAAAGATGGCAAAATTTCCCCCTTAAAAGGGGAAAGGAACTTGCAGATTACGATAGCAGATAGTTTAGTTATTTTGAGTAGTGTAAATAACTTTGAACTGTACTCCAACATGACGGTATCTTTGGTAAAGTCTTACTGTAAACTTAACAAATCGAGGTCACTTTAAGATAGGAGCGTAAAAGAAGAGAGATACTTCCCTGTAATTTTTTTGGAATGGTCCCATTTTAGGTTTATTTACCTGACATCCACCTTTGCCTTGACCTCCAGCGCACACCATGGACCTTTGATCAACAGGAGCTAATCTTCCGTTCACTCTGCTGCAGGCACTGTGTCCAGCCACGGGTAGTACAGCCTGTTGGAGAGTGTCAGCGGCATTTCCACCTCCGACAGTTCTCCCCCAGCCTGCAACAACATCATATTTATTCAAATCTCACGCAAAGTGCCTTGCAGTAACAAAGAGTAAAAACAACATGTTGTTCTGAAGATGTCAGTTAAGCACAAGCGTAAAACCGTGAATTGACTCAATACGGCTTATCACAGAGTGGTAGACTAGTGATTAATGAATCAGGGTCAATCAATGATAACACAAAGGAATATCTGCATGCATTTCACATACCTGTAATGTAACACCGTGTTCCCGCGGGAACCCTGCTTCCTGAACTCGGCAAGCACACCGTGTTCACTTTGCTGCTCGCTTGTATTGGCCGCTCTAGTTGCAGAAGGGCGATGTCATTACGCAGGTTCCTCATGCTAAATTGCTCGTGTTTGAACAACTGCTTCAAGCGGAAAGTCTGTTGAACGACTGTTGATCCAAGCCGGCGATGAGCTCCTATCAATCATGAAATTCAATAAATGCGAACTATTTTAATCGAAAAGGAAAAGAACTGGAAATTCAGAAAATTCACTGCAAAAAGTGCTAAGTGACAGTTGCGTATTCGGCAAATTGTAATAAAGGAGGGGATCGCTTCTGTCACAAAGCATTGTTAGATGTTAATTTGTGTTTCATCAGTTTATGGCGCCTTGGATTTCTTTCAGGGTAGGTAGCACAAGTAGAGTTCTTTCGGTGCAAATAGTTGGCGGCTTCTATCATAGGAAGACTATTTGGCATTTTTGGCGTGGCTTTAATTTAGCAAAAGAGATATTTCACTTGTTTATCCAGAGGCTCCTTGATCATAACAAAATTGAAAGAAAGTTAACGCTAAAACGAGGACGGAAGTGTATAGGACTGCAAAACTGGAAACGAGTCACCGGCACTAAAAACGAAAAAAAGAAACAACAACAACAACAACAACAGCAATAAAAAACAAAAACAAAACCAGAACCCTGCCTCGAAAAGTTCCTTACAAGAGGGTTTCCATGGGCTCGTGGCTTTTACGGCTAACGGTTAAATTTTAAGCATTTTTACGCCTAATGGTTAAATTTTTGGCCTTCTTAAGGCTAACGGTTAATTTTTACACGTTACGGTTAACCGAAATTTTAATGAAATTTTTAAGGCTAACGGCCTTTGAAAATTCATATAATATGTAATAATGACTTTGGAAGATGCAACGTAAACGAAACCTGAACATGACGAAACGTTACTTAAGTACGCTTAGTAAGTACATGAATTGGTGCTTTAGCACATGAAGGGCGGTGCTTCAGTAAGTGAAGGAGGCTGACGCTACTGCATGATGCAACAGCAGTTTCGTAATTCTCTCAGACAATGGGAAAGCACTACATTCCTTGTCGATAGTCTGCAATAACTTACCCACAACGACAGTGTAGCCACTCGGTCTCGGGTTTCGATCCACACAGTGAGCCGCAGTGACGACCCAGTCTTTGTCAATAAGTGATCCTCCACAGATGTGACGACCGTTGACTCTGAGTGAAATCTGCCAGGGCCAGGAGTGGGGCTGGGCATTTTCCCCATTCACCACCCTACTTGAATATGGTCGATTTCCACAACCTGTGAAGTTTGACATTAATCTAATAAGATGCGCAACTATCACAATTACTTATAGAATCTGTGCCAGATTTTCACTTCAATCAGCTTTACACACGTGAGATTCTTACGAGAAAATCTGAAGGTTGAAGTAGGCAACATTATTGTGATAAGTTATGGCGTTAGATTTATTCTGGTCAACGGCACAATTAGATACACGCCAGGATTTCTTTAACCCTTAAACCGGCCAGCAGCTTACGTAAAGGCTAGGCTTGATGGATGAACGAATTCTCAAGCTTAAAAGTTTGGTTATATATTTGCGTCATCAGTTTCAAATAGACACATATAATATAGTTTGGTCTCAGAAAAGTGCCATGCCGTACTGAAGTGACTTTGCAGCTTTGAAATTTCTGTGTGACTGTGAGAGTTTCATCCCTAATCAAAATTAAACCTTCGATTAACCAAGGCATCTTCGAGTGAATGTACACTTATTACTCAAAAATTTGAAAGAAAATTGTAAATGGGCTTTCCTTACCTTGGGAGTATGAGACTCCAAGCAGAAAAAGCGCAACTCCGATGAAGAGATTCATCTTAAGCAAATGATGTCCAAATGCAGCAAGGAGTTACGGCGAACCTTTTTAAATACACCGCAGTGTTATTTTAATTGGATCTCAAGTGGACACCTTTTTAAACACCATAGACAAAAACTTTCTAAAGATTCTTTTCAACTTAGACTGTAAAGTTTGGCCAGTGGATGAATCAAGTGGCAAGAATTTTCTTCACTTGAATAGCCTTTTGCAAGGACTTATTCTTTTCTTTTATATTTGATTGGAGAATACATAGTTAATGGAGCGGGCTGGCTATGAAACCCGACAAATTCTTTGTTGTATGTTTTGTTCTTTTTTTTTTTTGGCCTTGACCGTGCAAAAAACACAATAGTTTTCTACTCCGTACTGAGCAACTAACCAATGGAAACGTTTTGGTTACGTAATTCATGCATAGTGTATGAGCGCTAAACAAAAGATTGCACCGATAGAAGAACACAATTTACTTGCTTAAAATTTTGCCGATGGATGGCGACAAGTATGTCAGGTGGGAAATGATATTTGGAAATGATATGCAATGGTTTAATTTTGATAATTTCGGGATATGCACGAAAGGATTGAGCAGAATTGCGCGCTTCATCTAAAAGAGCGAAATTTAGTGGAAATAGGCATAAAACGAGATTTCAGATATGGGTGAATTGCCCAACTTCTCTCTGCCAGTAATTATGAGAATACCTAGCCTGAAGAGATACCAACTTGTCTGTAGGTGATTCATGGGTTTAGCGAAGAACGTTGACGCAATGAATCAAACACAAAAGACTGTTGTCAAAATTTCTAGAAGCCACTAAGGTCAATAACTCGAGCAACATAAAGTCTTACTTCAAACACACGTTTGTTCACAAATGTACATGCACATGCTATAGCTTGATCATGTGACCAGTGTTCATAGCCCCGGATGTCCACAGGAAACCGCACCATTTTGCCAAACACCGAGAAGAGGGTTGAAATACCATGCGACGCGAAGTATTTTTGAAAACCTTCGAAATGCTTCGAAATGTGGTCAAATACTGTCTTTCGTGTTTGATAAATCTTCTCAATCGAAGCTAAAACTAAGGAGAAAACGGAGAAATAAAATCGTACAATTTATGCTAATTAAGATCAGATATCCAAACACCGCTATGCTCAAGATTTCCTTGGCTTAAACTTGAAGAATTATTAATGAGTTTGAGGAAGCGAACTCATAAATTTTAAAGAAATTCAATGACTGTTCAGTTCAGTTGTTAAGACCAAAATTAGCCGCTCTAAGTACTTAAAAATTGTAAAATGCCGTAATCAGTATAAAATGCATTGGCTAGATAGAAGCCCAACGATGACATTCAAAATGGCTGGGCAGAGTTGCCATTAGTCTAATCCTCCAAACAATACAGTCTGCAATTAACAGGCATATTAAAAGAGGAAGTGGTATCAGAAGGTGAGTTCAGGCTTTAGCTTCCACTTGATTGGAATGGCATTCTGCGCCTCGATAAAAAAAAAAAAAAAAAAAGAGCACTTCCTTGCTCTTTGTTAAGCTTTGATAGGGCGCGACAATAACTGACCTATTCCAGTGCCCTGATTAAAACCATGACGCGGGTAGTGAAAATAGAGAATAAAGCTACGTCATGAAATTTTGTACACTTCCTTTTTAATCAAGAAAAAAAAAATTGAAGGAAACAAAATCATGTTTTCCCTACTTATGTTTGGACAGTACCTTTTTCTCTTAATTAGCTGGTCAAGTAAATTCGTCATCAATGAAAGGTATGTTTATGAATCGTCTGTTGAACAGAAAAAGTTACACCTTTTTCTTTAAACCTGTGGCCAGTCGACTCGAACAAATGTTAAATTTAAGTCTTAAGACCTCAATAGGTGACCAGCTTTCATCTGGAACTATATCTCGGGGACAGAGACAGCAATTCTTGGGATCCGCGCGCACCTAGGATATGGGACACTTTTGGTATTTTTAGAACATTTCGGCACCCTGACGACAGATATCCGCGCAGATCCACGCATATGTCGTGGGTTCTCACGTGGATGTCAAGTTGGGAGATCTAATGGCAGGAGTAACGAATTTTTACAGCGATGGCAGGGAATAGGAACCAGGGCGCTTATATGTAGGACGGATTGTTGAGCGATCCGAGTAAAAAGGTGTGATGCAAGAGACTGGGGTCTCCTATGAGAAAATTATTTCCCGTCTGCAACCAGTAGATTTCTAAAGAAATTCGACTCCAGTTTATATGAGGGCGACTTCTTTCGTGCATTTTATGATCTGAGCTAATAGAAAAGGTGAGCTTTTCAAAGTCGAAAGCAAGACTTCAATTTCGCGCTGTGAATACTCTGGTATCTCGCTAATTTGTGAGTTTCTCAAACAATGCTTAAACATAACGAAAACCTGTTTTTGATAGTTTCTTATTGTTCCTACTTGTTTGGCGAGTCGTAGTTAATAGAGGGAAATGGTTATAAAACCCGACAAACTTCCTTTTTTGGTTTTTGTTCGCTCTTTTGTCCTTGACCGTGCTCAAAACAATAGTTGCTTACTCCGCACTGAGGAACTAACTAATAGAAACGTGTTGGTTACGTAATTCATGTATAGTGTATGAGCAAAAAACAAACGAATGTGCAAAAGATTGTAGATCTTAGCATCTTTGTTTGCTCCTTTGTTGTTTGCCGGGCTTCATAACATTTTCCCTCTAAAAACTACGGGCGAGGCTGGAAAAGTTTTTGAAAGGAAGGTCCAACGCGTGCAATTAGCGCATTTTCATAGTGCAGCTCGTGCACTTTCAACTCCGTGTCGGTTGATTTTACAAAACTTCAGAAGACAAACAAAAATGACTCAGAAATGATAATGTAAGGGGACTTATTGAATTGTTTATACAATAGTTCAGGATAGGCCTTTTGCACGATCACATGCTGGTAAGGAAGTTCCGCAGTGGGACTTCCAAAACAAAGGCAGGTCCAGGTGGACTGGTACGAGTGGCATTGTTTTGGAAGTCCCGCTGTGCAACTTGCTCACAAGCATGTGTGATTTTGTACCATGTGACCGGATCGCGCGAAGGGCCTATTTCATCGTGACACTTTCGAGAGTGAGGGTCTTTGAGTAAACTTTATTTTTAAGGCGTAGTTTTCGGTCTTATTAAAATTTGGAGACTTAGCTGTGTAATCGCCTCACCAACAATTAAAAGATTATTTGTTTTGACAGCAGAAATATGCTGAGTATCTCACAATATCACCCGCCTTGCACGGAAGGAGTACGACCCCCATTTTTACTGGGGAATATGCTTTTTTATATCTGAAAGGTGGATGTTTCAGGAGGTGGGATTTCCAAAAAAAGAAAAACAAACAATAAAATTCGTCGTGATAGTGAGAAGAAGCAGTTAACGAATTATTCGTTTATAATGCTTTATTTACTACAACAACAACTACACTAGTCCTCTTCTTGTTCATTTTCCGCTTCAACCTAAGATGAGACAGAGTGAGAGAACGAAAGAGAAGAAAAAAAAAAAGAAAAAACAGTCGCAATTACACACATACCACAAATAAGGGAAACAGACAATAAAACTCGATCTGATAAAATTTTACTAAACAGTTAAGTAGGTAAAGTTAACAGGAACTCATGATGGATAATTGAAAATTATACTCCGTTAATCGAGCCTGTCTTCCGTGTGTGAGCTTACATTTTAAATTAGCAGCGGCGGCATGTTTTCCGGCAGTTTGCCTGGACAAATGGATGCCAGCTGCAATACCTCGTCCATTGCCGACAATTTGGGTGTTTGTCTATACAACCTAAAAGCATGGATAAAACAGTCAGCACTGAAAGCATGTAAACGTAGACCTAGTGCGCAAAACGAATCAGGCCAGGCGGCTTTAGGTCGAGAAAAGCCCAAAAGTGCTCTTAGTTGTTACATTATATTAGCACATGTCTAGGTCACTCAAGGGTAAAGGTAGATTGGTTGGAGTACAATAGATTGGGATTATGCAAGAATCAGGAGACAGTCAAGCACTTTCCATACATTACTAGAAAGTAAGATTGTGCAATTACCACCTGCTACTCAATGAAAGTAAATAACCTCGTTGCCCAGGATCGTAAGAGGGTAACAGGGGATGCTTGTTCAGTGTAACTGTCTCTCTTAGTCTGTAGGGGTTAAACTTGAAATCGTTCAAGTAATCAAGCCCCCTTAATCCCTGGCTTTACTGAAAGCCGTTTTACTTGAGTCTTTAGCAAAAATAGCTCGACTGTTGCCTTAAATAATTCTTGTTATCAATATTACTAGAACCAACTCGAGAGAGGGGATAACAAGATAAAATCGCTTTTACTGACCTCCTCCGCCACCTCCACCACCTAAAACAAAAACACAAAGTGTTTTCTTTTTCTTTTTCTTTTCTTTTTTCGGCCAAAACTGGACAATAACACCACTGTTTCACGCCTTGAGCGCTTGGGATGAACTGGGTACAACTCAAGTCAGGAGACATTGTTTTTTTCTTGTCTGCCCTCTTGGGAGCGAGGTTTGTAAAATGTGAACAATATATATTTTTTTTCACTATTTGCCGTTAAATTGAGCATTATATAGGACAACAACGAAAGCCGAAGACTATGTTATGTTGACATTCATTCGTGCTGATTAGTTTTTAGTATCCGTAGTGACCACAGTTACTGTATACGTTTCATTTTCGTTTCCTTTCATTTGCTTGGACATTTATCGTATGCCTTGTTGGTTTACTTTTTGTTTATTCCTTTAGGGAGTCGAACACTATTATAAACTCGTAAAGTTGTGCTGGGATCTAAGGAATTCTATAACTGAAATCAGTGCAGAAACAATCGCTCCTGAGCTATAAGAGCTCAGGAAATGAGAAAAAGTATAATTACTTAAATCTGATCGTCTCAAAATGAAATCCGGACTTGTGCATTTTGGATATAAATGTGATCGAACTCTAAATCAATGTTGACACAACAATGTAAATGCAATGCCATCCAGTAACTTTTGCCAATATGTACAAAGATACATGTTAATAGAATTACTTATTAAACGATTTTAAAAATCACGTTTATGTTTTGTGACAAATCGCTTACTGTTCTTTTTGTACATAGTTATTTCTAGAGCTCTGTAATGGTAAAAGAGGAGAATTTTTACCGAAATTTATTAAAGTACCTGACTTCTTCTGGTTGATCCATCCAATAAAACTGCTTATACGAGCGAACACTGTATAATGATCAGTCCTGCATTGGGAGTGTCCCCAGCTAACGGCACCTCGCAGAACAAATTTCCCACCCTCTTTGCATACAAACGGTCCACCACTGTCTCCCTGACGCACATTTTTAAGGAGAAAAAATAAGGTTGACATCAATCTTGTACAGTAAAATAAGAAGCAGGGTAATATATTGCATTCTGCCTCCATAACACTCTTCATACTGTAGTTAAAAGGTTACCAAGTAGCTCACTTTATTATATAGCTAGCTCCGCGAGCGGGCAAGATGAATCAAATCCTGCGCTGTGATTGGCTACCCGAGCGGGCAAGATCGAGCTATCTTGGCCGCTCGGGACTACCCGCCGTGTCCCC